CATTCTATAGCTGCGGCTAGTAGTCGAAGCAGATAGCAATTCTGAAAAAGACATGGACAATGACGGCAATGCTATCTGCTTAGGGTTCTATGCATGTACAGCAGGTAAACTAACACTAAAAGCTGACCAAATGAACAAAAAAATTTACTAAATCATCTGAAACCCGTGCAAACGCGTCCACCAAAACACCACACTAACAATGCACGCTCTCCACGTAAATGAAAATGCAAAATAAGTACTAGAAACACTACTTAATTGACTAGGGAAAACAGTTTTTTTTTAAAATGGAACTACGTTGCGGTTCATACTATCAGGCCAGATGAAATTCAAGAAAGAAGACAAAGAAAAGGATTGCACGGATGAAGTAGAGCGGAGGTCGGGAAACTTTTTGACGCAGAGAGCCAACAGAGCCAATATTTGGAAATATATTTCAGTGAGAGCCATATAATATATTTTAAGATTAAATTCAATATGAGTATAAAAAGCCTCTGGATTTATTCTTGGAGACACCAAAATCACAAAATCGGAGGTTTTTAATTCCAATTTTACCTGAGAGAGCCAGGCGCAATCAACAAAAGAGCCGCACATAGCTCGCGAGCGAAGGTTCGCGACCCCTGAAGTAGAGGTTCAACTGACTAACTGCTGAAGGAGGATCCACGCGGAAGGATTCACAAGTAAGCGTGACCTCGAACGTCTCTCACCAGTAGGCACTCACATCCCCTACCCGTTTGTATGGTCTACCGAAGACCCACAAGGATGGTCTGCCAGTTCGTCCGATTTTGGGCATGCACAATTTGCCGTATAGTGTGATAACGAACTAGTTAGCAGAGAAACTCAAACTTTTTCAGCCTTAGCTGGCACCACGCAGCTATCAAGAGGCATTCAAAGATGTCAATCTAAAAGACATGAAAATGTTCTCTCTAGACCTCTCATCGTTGTTTACAAAAGTCCCGGTCACAGAGACTGTCGATTGCATTTGCGAATTCCTATTGAAAAATAAGCTGGAAATAGGAATACCGACAAATGCAGTAAGGGCACTATACTAAGATGCACATTAAATGTGCATTTCCTTTTATAAAAGCATCTTCTCAATGGTCGAAAATATTCGTGGCCCAGTTAATTGATTAGAAGGCGGAACGTTCTTCCGCCTCATAAAAGCAACTATACAGTCAAATACACGGTGTTGTTATGAGCTTGCCTCTTGGACTTTTCTTAGTTAATTTCTTCATGGGCAGGCTAGATAAATCACAACTAAGAAGTAAGATCAATAAGCTATAAAGTTAAGGTCTCTATGTTGATGAGACCTTTGCCATTGTCGCAACAGAAACCGATGTAGTGTTAAATGCAGTCAGTCAACCGCATCTATCCATTAAATTAACGTTGAAGGTGAAACAGCAGGTTCGCTTCCTATCTTAGACGACAGCGTCCGAAGGGGGCGTTTATTAAAGGAAAACCTGGTCTGGAAAATATACTAGCTTTAGCAGCTTACGTATGCTCGCCCACTACTCCTCTGAAAAGTGAAACATCGTGTCACCTGAGTAGAATCAAGTTTTAGAAGTAAATACTGCTTGTCCTTGTGAATGAGACGTTTTCAGTGAATCCCTAGGGGGACAATACCCACACAAGTGCGGAACTTGGCTCCTGTGCCCGCTAGGGAACCCAGTACACGTGGAGCGGACGTAAGGCTGGGGGGGGGATGAACGTCTGTCTGGATAGGGTTCTCAACCCCAATTCCAGTGGCTAGTCTTGAAAATGAAACCCAATGACAGTGTCGAGCTGGTAAGCAATGCATGCCTACAATGCGACAGAAATTTGGAACACCAGAGGGGGAGATTTATTGGGCTCTGGGACAAGACAACCTAAATGCGAAAATAAGCCAATCAAGGCTTCTTTGTGTTGCTGCGATTGTCTGCTTTGACGACGGTTAACTGGGTTGGCCACGTAACTACTATTGACTGAACTGAGGGCCGTACCACCATGTATCCAGTTTCTGGAGAGAGGGGAGTCACTGGGCGGAGCATTGGTTGTGAATATTCCATTCGCTAGCGGGTGGGCAGACCGAGTGAGCCGGTGAGGACCGGACAACCACCCCCCCTCCCCCGGCTCGGAGTTGTGCGAAAATTCCGTGCTTTTTGTAGACCTTGAGAAGGGCAGGTCTGCGCAAAAACTCTCGCAGATGACACATGCGCACGTAAGGACACCGTGCATGACGCAGTGCATGTGGCCTCGTTACAAATCGAGCGCTGACTGCGTGCAAGT